AATTCTGGGAGTTGAAGTCCACTCATCTTAAAGTGGCCAAGTTTGGACAACACTGAAATACGATGAGACTTGTTTATCAGTAAATAGACTGCCTGGTTTAACATGCACATGAATTTGTGAATATATAGATGCACCCCAAATTCCTTTAAAAATAAAGCTGGGCTTATCCTAAATCCTTAACAAGCAAGAAATCAGCCAATTTCTAGATTCTATCATTCCCTCTAGCAAGGCCATGGAACATATTCCAGTAAGGATAAAGTGATGGGACTTTGAAAATGGATAGCTAATATAATGTCTTAGTCTATAGAAAACAGTGAATATGGAACATAATTTAAAAACATTTGACTCCCTAGAAACTACACACATAGATTTAGCATTTTTGTTCCTCAAATATGCAAAGCAGTATAAAATATTTTTTTTCTCCAAAATACTGCAAACATTTCATTGAAAACTATTCAGAATCTCAGGCTTGAAGGTTTTGCTTAGAATAGTTAATTTTGTATTAGTAATCTGTTGGGGAGAGAACTTTCAATATAACGAAGAGTATAATCTTGCTGTGAGAAAACCAGTTGTACCTATCATAATGCTAATCTATTTGCTACCATTTAATATAATTTTCATCCTAATAAAATACATACTGTATTTCTTTGGAAGAAGTTCTATCAAGGATCGATTAGTTAAGGTTGTTTAGCGCTGCATTTTATCTGCACATTTTTTGGAAGATGTGATTATTTTACATTAAAAGAAAATAACTCACTGAGGCAATCCAAATTGTGCACCAAATATGCTGAATTCAAGATTCAAATAAATTTGCATTATTTATCTTGTTTTTGCTAGCCATAGAAAACAGAGATAACTACACATAATTCTGAAGCCCAGGGCTGATGTCTGGCTTAAGTGAGCTGGCATCGCACGTACCAGTTGCCTACCAGTTGCCACGATTAAGTCCTCCAGCATTGCTCCAGATACTGTATCCTTAGGCATTTCCCCCGCCCCCCAAATGGCTACCATTTTAGAGTGACCACACTGCAATGCCCCAGAGTATCCAACATCTGTTGTATGGCAGACTGGGAAATTTAAATGATTGGTGGCTGGTAAAGTTTTTGATGCTATATATTATATAGTGCACAGAAGAGTTTTCAAAACTTTAAAAATAAACCCTGGCAAGAAAAAATGAAGAAGCTGGCATCTACAGTGTCCAAAGAGAAAGCAGAGTTCTCAAAATGTTTCATAAATGCATGCAACAAATGTTATAACAAATGAAAAAAAAGCGCAACTGAACTGGTTAAACATGAAAATGATCACATTTACAGTCCAAACGTAATTTATCCATAGTCTTTTTCAGTGATTGAGTAATATCTCTATCACCACTGGTATCTCCCACATATGAATATGAAAGCATATGTCCTATCTCCACTAAGTGAAGAAAATTGACCTTTTAAAAGTCACTATCATTGACTAGCAGAGCAAATATAACTAACAATAAAAATCTTTACAGGCATGCAAATCCTTCACAGCAGTGGGGCACTACCAGGAGCTCAAACACCAACAAAATTAGTGAGCAGATTTGGTTTGAAGCTAAGATATAGTCCTCTATGTTTGTGTGAGGAAATTTGTTATATTACAGGAAAAAGATAAATATATGGATGAAACACATTTGGTGTTTGTAATAGATTTTGGTTACCCTAGAGCAGTGTTGTCCAAACTTGGCCACTTTGAGTGGAG